GTTCACTCTCGGAAACCATCAACAACCTTCATGGTTCAATCACCGGTAGTCGTTAAACACTGATGAGATTGATACTTAAGTTTCTGGTTGAAATAAAATATCATGTTTGAAAGAACATGAAAAAAAAATGTTTGCTTTTTAAATGAAAATGTGTAAAAAGGAAAGGCATCTACATATGTAAACGGCAATCATAGCTACGCAAGAAAGCAGTGACGATGAAATGAATACGAATGATAAAAAAAGGAGTCATAAGATTTAAAAGCATGCATAATACAAGATTACTAGTGCATTAGAGAAATTAATTCATGCAGGATTGTTATATGAGCAATTAGCTCATTTACTTTATATTTATAGATGTCTGCGGAAAAAATGCTAAATTTATTCAAGATTTTCAATCTAGAACGTCACCTAAATTTTGACGTTTATAGTTCATGCTTTTGACCATTGGAGGATAGAAGTTGAAAATTAAACGTTCTTCCTCCACAGAAAACTAGTCTATTGGGCTTCTATTTTATTTTGATTCACCTATAAGCAAAATAAGGAAGGAAGCATTCATTTACCTTACGGTTAACTTGCAGTACGAAGTGCTGTATAGTAGCAGATTGAGTAGCTCGATATATTCTCTACAACTAGTACTAGCTGTAGCTCTAGGCAAAAGGTCAGTCTGGCGCAGAGTTCTTCTACTCTCCATGAGCACTAACTAATCAAAAGAGCAGATGTATCGCATAACATAGTCAGTATGCTATTTAACAGATGATCTGAGGCAAACAGTTGTTAATGACTTGTGCACGGTCATTCCATAGTTAGTGGTACTTTGTGGATACATATCGAGCTACGGCGTTAGTCAGCCATGTCGGTCCATAATAAGCATAGCAGTGTACAAGATTCTATAAATTGGGTTTGTCAAAATGTTTGACAACATTTATGGGAGCTATGATAGTTATGAACGAACCACAAATTGATTTTTATACTTATTCCTGTTCTGTGTATCAGATAACCTGAGTTATACGTTCATTACACATTCCTGTCATCAACTCTTCTCAGATCTAAAACTATGAATACGTTAACCCGAGTTTGTTACGATACTTTGGTTTGAGAAATATCGAGCGTCGGAGGAGTTGAGAAAAAAATTCTGCATCACTTTGCCAGACGACATCATCTGAGAAGCTCATATATAGTTCAGAACTGCAAGAGGACAGATTTCCATTATCTTCAAAAGATTTCAACCTAAACTTATTACTACATAATGAAAGTTTATCATTTTTATGAAATCGGTAATTCAGATCTGATGAATGTTTCAATAATGGATGTTGTACTCATCTCATACTGGCACTTGTTTATGAAGTTTGATAAAGTATCATGGAATTTCAACCGATCATCGTTAAGTTAAAGATTTGTTCATATGTCTGTCAATATAAACATCATTTCATTTCTAGATTGTATATGATTCCATAGCCCTCATTAATGTTCATACGTACGCATTTTTCAGCTTACGAAAGAAGCTAAACTGCATGCGTCAAAGTAGTTGTACAACTAAACAGAAAAATGTGAGAATAGGCTTCTGTTCTATGGAACATTTTTTGCTAATGACAAATTAGAATATTACAGGAAGAATCATCATTTCTGACAGAACATGAATAGCTTTAGTACTGGTATAAAACGTGAAGTAATCATTTGAATTTTCATATTTGAAAAGTATATTTATCTGATGATTATTTTCAGCAGTGATTTGCAGTACTGTAAACTGAACGAAATGAGGTTGATAATTATTTAAAAGGTCAATCCATATTAGAAGATAACCTTAAACAAGAAAAGAATCACTTCATTATTTTTATGACTTTTTTTCTTCATATTGTGACATAGAAGAACGAAAATGAGATGACTTCAAAAAATTATTGAATATTTTTGCACTGTCATTTGATTATTTTTTCGAAGATTCGAGATTAAAAAAAGAAAATAAGGAATATATATTGTAGAAACTTTTTCTTTTTACTTATTATTGTGAATAAGAACTTTTTCTTCTATTTAATTTCTGAAGAATATCAAATAGACATTGACAAATATATTGACATTTATATGAGTTATTATTCATTGATGATAAAATTTGATAAAGATGTGTTAAAATTTCAATCAAAAAAACTTTTTCATGTGAATGATATTGACGAAGATATTCAAGAATAAATTCTGAACTCTGAAGAATATCAATTAAATATTGATATTGAAGAAAATTTTTTGGATTTAATAATTGACATGAATATTTTTTGGTTATGATTGTCCGAAGTATATGACAAATTTCTGATGTATCAGAAAGAAATGTGAGGAGATCAGTTGATGGTTCTAGATTAGGATTTGCATCCGCTACATGTACTTCATGATGAATTAAATCAGAAAGAATTTCACCAATAGTTGAAGAGTTAATAGATTCAAAATCTAAAACATAGAATTTATGTTTAATAATAAAAAAAAAAAATTCAATTAAGTCTCACATATTGTAAATAAACAAAGAAAGAAATCAAAGCAAACTTAAAATGCTCTTTTCATAAAGTTCGTATATGAAGTATAAAGAACTATAATTGCACGAAATCCAAACAACGGCACACACCCAACTTTCGGATGCTGCTACACTTCAGATTATGGCTTCGACAAGGTCCCTGTGTGACTAAGAAAAATTGAAAAAGAGTCGAATTCATGGTCTTAGGGAGTTGCGGATCTAAAGTTTAATTTATTGCCGAAACCAAGTCCAGAAGTTTAACTTTGTTCAGATCCGGGTCCACAAAGACGTATATATGCAACTCACTATATGCTCTACTGATATAGAGTACTAACCATTTTAATGAAAAATTTACTGACATCAAAAGATTTTTGAATGATTCAAGACAAAGTGTTTCGAACTGAAAGTTTACCTATAGATACGTGTGATAGTCTTGAAAGTTACAATAAAAAACGAAAATATTTTTCTCAAGATATTCAGTGTCTAAAAAAGCAATGATGTACCGTAGGACGATACGGTAATCAAGTCTGCTTGAAGTTGAATATTTCGAGAAAAACATATTCATTTTCGCTGAAACTTTCAAGACTATCAAACATATCTTTAGGCAAAATTTCAATTCGAAACACGTTGTTTTATGTTATATGAAAATCTCTTATTCTCAATAAAATCTTTATTGAAATCAATAACACTTTTCATCAATAATCCATGATCAAAAATTCTTTGTCTTTTTATTTTAGCTGCACCGAGATTTACTCGTAGCCCCTATAGAAATTCGAACGGCATTCGACAGTTACTTGTAAGATTATCTTACCTGATTGTTGAAGATTTTGAATCAACATTTGTATATTTTTATGATTGATCATTGAATGATGATTTCTAATATTGTCGAAGGTTGTATTGTCAGATACTGTATATATAAATATTTATTAGTTATTAACACTTGTATTCTAGTTTATATTTATTGAATTTCTCAGTTCGAAAAAATAAAAGTAAAAGAAAAAATAAAGACTCATTTTCTTACATTTTCTTTCTAGATAACTAGCATCATTATCATCATCGAAAAGCAGTGAATCGACGCTTTGATTTGTTTGTGAAGACCTACAATCTATTTTAAAATCATATAATCTTTGTATTTTACATTGATCATTATTATTACTATCGTCTGAATCACAATCATCAGAGAGTGGACGAATTGTTGATTTAGCTGAAGACAAAAACAGAATGACAGCAATATTTATAGATAAAAGGAACAAAATAGTTGAAGAATAGATAAAATTTACTAACAGTTAATTAAATCAAAGATTCGTTATAGAAACTTGAAATGCATTATAGTAAAAGGCTAGGAAAGAAAATAATGAAATAAATGGAAACGAAAGACTTTGCTAAAACAAGAAATCAAAGTATTGGGTTAACCGGGCTATATTTGATAATATGGATGAAGTACGTCATTGATTTTAATATGGAACAAAAATATTTATGTATTGCATTATGGAGACAGTGGAAAAAAGACATTTGTTTATAGTATGGAAGCTGAGTCAGTATTGCAGTCGGTCCGAACTTCAGCGGTTGGAAAATATTTTATAGATATCCCACTTTTCTCTGATAAAACTTCTTGAGAGTAAGTTTGCTTGCTCTTATCGAAATAACCAAACATTACTGTTTCAAAAACTATCAAATTTATTTTCTTCTGTTCGTCCACAGTTTTATTTCTATTATCAAAGTATATTTGATTTTTCCAAAAGCACAATCGAAAATGTGTTCCTTGAGCTAAACATTTTTTATAATGATCGAATATCGGTTTGAATCATGATTCGAAGAGAAATGTTAGTTTGACTGGAAAAAGTTGAGCAATATATTCATCTTTGAGAAACCTAACAGATATAAAAGACTCCAATATGATATTTCCTTGTAGTGAATTGTAAAAAAACTGACGAGGTATAGTGCCCAGTTGATTAAAAGCTTTTGAGCCCATATTTCGCTGTGTGATAGGAGACCATAACCTATAACAGGCTCTAAAGAATTCGCGCTGACGTAAAACTTGGGTCGAGATATTGACTTTTAAGTGGGTTTTTCTTGTATAGATCTAAACGCTCGATAAAATTCTATTGTTGAATTTCAACTTGAAAACTTAGCCCAGTTGAAGATTTCAGTGAGAATAGCTGATGCACTAAATTTCAGAAGTTTTCGATCGAGTGTCTCTGAAATACACATTTATCAGACTTCAAACAGTTTTCTATGAATACAGTTTGAAAATGCATATTTTGAAATTGGTATATTCAGAAGAACTCGATCGGAAACTTCTGAAATTTCTTGCATAAATTAGTCTCACTGATGCCTTCACCTGAGCCAAGTTTCTAGGCCAAAACTAGACAATAGGATTTTATCGAAAGATTGGATTCATTCAGAAAAAACCTACTAAGCCGTAAATATCTTCGTCAAATCTTAACGTCAACACAAACCTTTTAAAGCCTGTTCTAACTTATACATCTCTTACCACAAAGTAAAACATGGGCTCAAAAGCTTTTAGTCATCTCGGGTCTTTCATAGTGAGTACAAAAAGGGAAATAAATGCTTTTGGAAGCCATTCTTGTTAACCAATTCATAATGATTCCACAAATCGGCCAATGTTTTCATCAATTCGCATCGCTCTAGAAGGTTTTTTTGAAACGATCAATTATAACTTTGAGCTAAATACGGTAATCATAAGAGCGTATGAATATAAATGAGATGAAAACCTATTCGAATCCACGTCCATATCGTATTTTATACAGATAAAAAAATCTATATGTGCCACTGACCAAATATGGGTTTTTATCTGACCATTTAAATCACAAGCATAGATAAACAATCTGTCTAAACTTACGTGTGTGTGATGGCTTAATGAAAACGTACCTAAAAACAAATAAAAAAATAAAGAAAATTATTGAAAAAATATTTATCAAATTTACCATAAGATAAACCCAAGTATAATAATACTAACAATAAAAAGAAAGGCAAAAACCCCATAATGAGAATGTCCTTGTTGAGTAATAGTTGGTGAAAGTTTGTGATAATTGCTCTGGGTTTTTGTGGTAACTAAAATAAAAATTAAATAACAACAAATACATATTTTGTCTAATTGTCTTATTCAGCATAATGATGGATCAAGTATCTTTATGAAAAATGAAAAATACTGTCCTGTTTTACCCGTTATTGGTTGAACATACATGCATAAACAAAAAATGTTGATGATTTATTTTCTTTAATCGATTTTTTATATTGTGTTATTAATTTTCTCATTTTTCTATGTATTAATTTTCGTTTTTTCTCTTTTCTATTTTCGTCTAGATAAGAATAATTATCAATTAAATTCGATTTTCCAATCATTTCAGAATCACATATAGATGATAAATCATATAAATAACATGGATTAACATGTGTTGTTGGATGAACATGTAATCGAACAAATGATCTACGCACAATTACTGTAAATTTTCCATGAAGATTTATTTCATAAATTTTATCTAATTGATTTGTATATTCTTCTTTAGATTTATAGTTTAAAGATTTCTTTTGTTTAAACATTTTCATACCTCTAATGTCATTGTTTGATTTTGTTTGAATAAATTGTCTATTATTAAAAAAGAATTTTTTCTTCATCTATGTCTAAACAATATGATTTCTTTTTTTTTTTGTTTTGTTTCATGGTAACTATGAGAATTTAATTAAAGACATAAACTGTGACTTGAAGTTAAATTTTATTTTAAAAAAAAATCAAAACAAAACAGCAAAAAAAAAATAAATACATATTTATTCCTTCGGTTCTTCACAAGGTGTTTCGTTATTACTAAATGGATCTGTAGCATAGGTTAAAGTACATTGTTCCCGTCGAAATCGTTTAGCATTTTTAGTTAAATTTTGTGCCCATTCATCACAAGCAGCTCTTTTTAAACGATATTCGTGAACTTTTAAATTAGCATAATCAGATAAATCTTGTGTTAATCTAGCCAAAAGATCTTTTTCATGAGTAAATATACCACCAGCTAATATACATTCAATATCTGAAGCCCATCTAGTTAGACTACTCATATCAAAACAAAAAATATAAACCACTGGTAAAATTCCATATTTAATTATATCAGGAACAATACTTTGTGCATGTCGACCTTGAATAATACAGAAAAGTTTTTTTTGTCGAATCGATGATAAAAATCGACGGCATTGATCAACATCATTAAAGAAATATATATTAGTTGTATTTGATTCAAATTCTTGTTTAAGTTCAATACAATTTTCAGCTTGACCAATATGATCATCAAGCCAGAGTAGAACTACATCACTTCCGATGATTCTTTCTACGGCTTCCATTTAAAATAACATAAAAAATATATCAATGTAATTACTTTCTAAAAAGAAGACAATATTTATTTTCTTTCGGCAGTCATATCATAGAATGGAATGAATCAAGTTATTCCTGTAGGTCACAATATGTGCTTAGATTGTTCTTCTACGACATCTATTGAAATATAAACATTTTTGGATGTTCATCGGTAGGAAAGTTTAAAAATTAGCTTCAAGTATTGACGTGTCACTTGAAGTATTTATAAACTAATCTGATTGAGAGTCTAAAGAGCCGTATCTGAGAGCCTGTCGGATTGGTCCGTGACCTTAAAGTTTTGTATAAACCGAATTCGGGTCCAAAAATTTTGGATCGATGTGTCTAATCTTAAAAATAATTCTATATAATACTAGAACTTGTTTGATAACAATCGCACCATCACTACTTTTATTAGTACATACATTGTTCTACTTTTTTTGTTATGAAGTCGAACAAGAAAAGAGAATGTAACCATTGTTTCTATAGCAGTTAAAAGTAAAGAGAAATACTTCCTAGATTATTCAAAAGGGTCAAGTAGATGAATGCAAAAAAGATTCGGACAATAATCAGATTAAAAAATATTTACAATCAGAGTTAACTCAAAAAAATCTAAAATTCATTGATTTTTTCGGATTATTTTCGCTTTTTATTAATGAAAAATTGTGCAAAAAACAGTGTTTTTTTTTCTCATCAAATTTTAATCTGTTTTTTTTAATCCTAATTTCTTTTCTACATAGAAAGTCTTGAGCAATATTGAAAACTGTATGAATCAATGATTACAATCATTTCAACATTCGATCAATTTACTCTATTACGAAACTTTCTAATACATACTTTTTTCAAAATCCTATGTGCTGGTTAAATATGTATGTTCAATAAAGATGATTGTAATTCGAGTGTTTCGTTCATAGCTGTTCACAGAGAAAAACCACTTCAAGAATGCATCATTTCATTCATAGTCGACGAGTAAAAATACGAGAAAATGTAATTTGCTGATTAATACATTAAACAACACTCAGAAGAATCATCTATAACTACTATGTTTTTAAGGACAAGAACGATAAAGTGCATGATTTTATTAAACATATCAATTAAATGAAAAAAATTATTATTTCAAATCAATTGAATCATGTCAAAAAGTCAGAAACATAATCAAGTTAAAATAATTGCTAGTTATAACCAATTTAATTGTTTATCGTTTTGCTCATCTATCAACTTTGCAAAAAAAAAAACAATTTTAACTTTCACACTGCTTATAAAGCCCTATGAGTTGTATTTACAGCATAAATAAATAACAGTTCTTTATTGTATCTTGTAATGATATAGATTACATAAATCTACCTGAGATTTAATATAATTCATATATTATGAATTGATGCAACTCATATCTTTGTTAAGCTACGAGAAGGACCCGTTATGTTTCGATTTATTTAAAGATATATATTGTTTTTTTTATAGTAGAAACTTCAAGATAAGTTTTAAGTTCTAAGTCATGCTCGACACTCTTTCATAAACAAGTGGAATAGAATGTTTTTTTTTCAGAAAGATTTCTTCAAATAAGCAGTGTTTGTCGACGATCATACATGTTAAAGTTAATTAATCGTAGTTTTAATTGAGTGATATTAGTTATTTATGAAGAATGAACCATATTGATGTAATATTTTTTTTCGAGCGGTCTTAGTAGATACAGTTCATAAAATTTTATTTGCCCATCTATCTTCATTTCAAAATTTTCGTATAGTTTCCTAATAGTCATCCGAAATAAAACAAACTAAACTAAAATTTTATCCTTCCATCAATGTAAACAATTGTATGAATGGCTTAGTGTATGTATGCTCGAATCTAGATATTTTCAAAAATACGGGATGTTTTTTTGTAATTAATGTAAAAAACCTAAGTGAATAATTCCAGCACCTAACTTCATAGATTTCTGGTCTGACAATGGGAAAGATTGGATATTTTCTGTAAGAGTTGTATAGTGTAAAATATAAATTATTTAAATATATTTATTGACGACATAACAAGTTACAGATGAATAATACGTATTTCCGATAGATGGTGGTCATTGTCGATTGAGATATGTAATTGTATCGCTGAATTTTCACTCCAATAGAAATCAAGAAAAAGTGTTGTTATACAAAAGCTCAGATCGAATAATTTTTTATTCGACAAACAACTATTAAAACTTTACACGTTAATATTTATTATATCATCTAAATTTTCAGATGGCAACTGCAACAATGGATGCTAAATTAAAAGAAGCTATACCATTATATGAAAAACTAAAAAATGAATGGGGTCGTAAGCCACCCAATGTTGGCAAAACTGATGAATTGCTCAATTTATTAAAAGTACCTTTTTTTTTTCTTCTTTTGATTGTTTATTTCATATTAAAATAAATTTTTCTTGTTTTAGAATTTATTTGCTGAAGGTGGATTCTATCCATCAGATTCAAATGAAGATACACGTGGTTTACATATTGCACGTATGTTTTTATTTTCTTGTATTAATTATTGAATAGAAAAAAATATATATATATTTAAAATAGGTGATACACTTGAAATAGCTGCACAATGTTCAATTCAAAAAGGTGATATACCAGCATTTGAACGAGCTCTTGCTCAGCTTAAACCATTTTATTTTGATCTTGAGTATGTTTTTTTGTTTTTCATTTTATATGTTTCTTTTTCCTTTTTTAATGATATTAAGAAACCGAATACCTGAATCACCATATCGTTATTTATTACTTGGTTTAAATTTACTTTGTTTATTATCACAAAATCGTCTTGCTGATTTTCATACAGTAGAAAATTCTATTTTTTTTTTTTGAAAGAAAAACAATAAATATTTGTTTATTTTCTAAGGAATTAGAATTACTTACACCAAAAGTTATTCAAACAAATCCATATATAAAACATCCTGTTTCACTTGAACAGTATTTAATGGAAGGAAGTTATAATAAGGTAAAGAATTTTTTAAATTAAATAAATATATAAATAAATGATTTTTGAATATGATTAGGTTTTTCTTGCTAAAGGAAATGTACCATCACCATTATTTACTTTCTTTATGGATATTCTTCTTAATACAATTCGGTATGATTCTTATTTCTTTTTTTTGTACTTAATATCATTTGATACCTTTTTTTTTTAGTGATGAAATTGCTTTTTGTATGGAAAAATCCTATAGACAAGTATCATTACATGAAGCTGCACGTATTCTTTATTTAAATAATCCAGAAGAATTAGCTGAAATGGCAAAAAATGTAAAAAAAAAAAAATTGTTTTTTTTTCTAATTAATTAAATTTATTTTTTATTTTTAGCATGGTTGGAAATTAGAATCTGATCAAGCATTTCATTTTGCTGATAATCAAATCAAACATGAAAATGAACATTTACCTGCTGATGAAATTGCAACACAAATGATTCAATATGCACGTGAAATGGAAATCATCATTTAATTCGTTGTTCAAACTTTTCTTTTATGATATAATAAACTCGAGAGAAAAAATATAGGATGCTTTTTTTTTTTTTGTTTCATCTATTATCCTCAGAAAAAAAAACAATTTTTTTGTTGATTATTCTATCTTTTAGATAAAATGTTTAATTTAAATTTTTCTGCTAAAATTAAAGAAGCTGAAGAACATGTTAAACAAGGAGAAAAATATTTAAAAACATCATTTACAAAATGGAAGCCAGACCTTGATTCAGCTATTGATGAATTCGATAAGGCATGTACATGTTATCGTGTTGCAGAAAAATATGAACAATGTCGAGATTTATCAATACGATTAGCTGAATTACAAATACAAAAAGGTAGTACATTTTTTGCTGCTAAATCCTATGAACAAGCAGCACAAATGGCACAACAAGTACAAGATTTAAAAACAGCTGCTAAATATTATGATAAAGCAGGCGAATTATATGTTGAAGGAGGTAGAATTTGAATGTTAATTTAAATAAATATTCGTTTATTATTACTTTTTTTTTTGAAAATAGGTCATTGTGATTCTAGTATTATACTTTATGAACGTTGTGCACCACAATTTCAACAATTTGATCGTACAATATCTATTGATTTTTATCTTAAAGCAGCACATTTAGCTGAACAAGATAAAACTTATCAAGCAGCTGATTTATATGAAAAAGCAGCTATGCAAACACTTCGTACAGGAAATTATCCAAAAACAACTGAATTACTTGAAATAGTTACAAAAACTTTAACAACATTAGAACGTTATGATCGTATTAATCGTGTAATACTTTATCGAATATTACTTAAATTATTTAATGATGATAGTGTAGCTGGTAGAAATATATTTGATCAAGCTTGTCAAACTTATCCAACATTTGAACAATGGGAAGAACGAAATCATATTGAATTATTACTTGATGCATTTGATCAAGATGATAAAGATTTAATTAGTCAACGTTGTCAAGTAAAATAAAAAACAAAAACAAAAACTTTCCTTTCTTTCTTTAATACCTAATTTCATTGTAGAAACCATATTTTATGGCAATTGAACCTGAATTTGTTCGTTTAATAAAACGTTGGATTCGTCCAATAGCAAATAAAGATGATGGACAACAAAAAACAATAAATAGTGCTTCTTCATCAACATCTGGAGTCAAACCAGTGCAATTAGATGATGATGAAATTGATTTACGTTAATTATTTAAATTCCATATATTGTTTTTGTCTGTATGTGTCGTGTAATTTTTTTTTTCTTCCTTTTTTTTTTTTATAAATATTTTATTTTTTGATGTTGTCTTCGTGCAATAATTTTCTTGAATACATATAAATAAAGTTTAAACATGAAATTTTACCGCCTGTTCTATATTCTATTCAACTACGATTTCATGATTGTTCTATTAATAATTATTAGTAGTGTTCTATTCATTAGTGGATTATTAATTGCTATTTGTCTTGTTCGATATTTAAGTATAAATAGAAAATCTTCATCGAACTTGATAGATTCTAATCTTGTTAAATCTCAAATAAAACCATCATCAAAAATATCTATGATGTCTGATTCAAATTCTATAATAAATAAATTTCAATCCGAAAATCAAATTACTCTTGAAGAAAAAGAACCTTCGATTGATATCTCTCAAACATCATCATTACTTATGCCATCAAAAGTTGTATGGAAAAATGAAAATTTTATTTCTGATGAATCTTTACAAGATACAAAACATCATCATGATTATTCTGAATGTCTAAGACTTGGTTCAGTACTTATTGATAGACCACTGGGTATTGCAATGCAACCATTAGATGGTATGGGACCAGTACTAATGAAATTCAATATGTGTGAACAACATTGGATAAAACCTGATAATCATTGATTTGAACTTTTGTTTTTTTTCGTTTGATTTGTCTGAAAATAAATTTCACTACATAGTTGCTTATAAAATAAGAAGAAATATTCGACTGTCATTTTTCGATGAGAATCAATAAGCATTTTTCCATAGGCGAGGAGGATTTGTGATTTTTAAACTTATAATGACCTTATTTTCTGCTCTATATAGCTTTATAATTTCTCAGATATCAACATAATCTGAAAATTCATTGTGAGAAATCCTTACTGTCATTGTATGTAGGAAACTTTTTATCGAAAGATTGATATAGTATACATGATTCGAAGTAGTTTCCGATATTGATTCCAAATATGAACTTAGTGTTCAATAAAAGTGTTTCTACTCAAGAACCGAGGTGCAGAATTTGCCGCAAAAATGAAAAATGTTCTCACCTACAAAGAAGAGAAAAGAGTGTTTTTGTTTGAGGATGCATATTCATAAAAACAGAACATCAAAGGCCAGCTATCGGTAAGGTGTCAAAAACGATCGCAACGTAAAAAAAAACCAAAATCATTGTGATTGTAATCGATTATTATGCAAAGAAAATTTAATAAAGTGATGTTATGAACATAGAACAGCTACAACAAATTTTTAATCATCGAAATTGATTAGAGTCCCTTCCACAATAGAAGACTATTACTTTTTATTCGAGTTTTTCAGATCACCCTTCTCGAAGCTGTCTTCTAATATAAATATAGTCTTTGAGATGTTCTTTACGAATTGATTTATTTAAGCAGTGTGTTTTATATTTAAAGAGGTGAATTTTGGTGAAACCTTTGTGTAACTTTGAACAATCTATTTATTTCCAGGTAAAGTATTACTAAAAACTTTGAAAGTTTCCAGTTTTAACATAAATCAATAACAGAAATAGTATGATCTGTTAATCCGTTTGGATTATTTTCTAAACAGTAGTCTTCTATTGCGAGAGAAAGGTTTTATAAAGAATCCTGTGCAGACAACTTATTATAGTTAATAAATCAGATAGATTATAATATATTATTTCCACATATAATCTATTATATTGAATTTCGTTGACTAGAGACCAATATAAATTGTTGCATATTCATATAATTATTTTATTATATCCCGCTGTAAAAGGATGCTATTTTGCCTTTACATGAAAACTCTTTGATAATTTAAACTCAAAACGATAATGTTTAAAAAAGAATAAATGACAAGAAACAGCGCTGAAAGAAAAAAGGCATTCAGAGACGAATGATATGCATGCAAATGAGACAGAGAAAGAACAAATAAACTAGAGAAATCGTTTATTGAGTTTATGATTTCTCCATCGAGGAAGACATTCTTCGAAAAGTTTTCCGATCTCGACGTGATCAATAATTTCCCTAGAGTCAAAAAATTTCCCTAAACGCGCGTTCCCGCACACGGGTAGATTCTGTATCTCAGCTCGAGATAGATGGATTCTATCTCGACAACTATCAGCTCAGACTTTGAACGTTCGTGCTTACTCTACATCGTCTATAGAAATTGTCATAATTTTGATTTATTGGTTCATATGGCTCTGTTTTAACTACATTATTTTAACTAGTCTGACAATATAGGACAAATTAATAACAACTAGAGTATGTGAGCTTCATATTTTGCCCTCTCATCGAGTTGCATCGACGAAGCTTGTAATAGATCGTTCGCTAACACTAAACAAATTACGACTAAACTTGAGTAATTGATATTCAATTCAATATTCAAATGAGATCATTTCAAATTAAATGATCATAGATTGATTTTACTCGTCTTCCTTATTTAGAAATCAGTTAGACGATCTGTAATCATTCACGTTCATTTTTATCTCTTGTATGATGAAAAACTTTTTTAAATGATAAAACAAAAATCATAGATCAATCTTGAATAAAATAGAAATCACAATTAAATATGTTTATGTATCAAAATTCATGATTGTCTGAGCTAGTATTGACATAGGACCATCAAAAGATAATAATTTTAATGTAGATGGTCGTTGATTATCATCATTTATTTTGCATTCGTTGTATAGCCGTCATTATCGATCGCAACGATTCATTTGTCTGAATAAATAACGTTGCTTTAACAATAATAACAAAAAAATAGCAAGGAACTCTCATTTCTACCTGTTGTATATGATTTGTTAGTTGTCTATTAATCTAAATGATTAAAAATTACAAAATGAATTAATTACAATAATTTTATACCAGTTGAATATTTTCTTTATTATCCGTTGCAATTGATTTTATTGCAAATATTTCTTCATCTAAATGTGAAACCCTTTCTTCTAGATCAGAATTTGATTTTCCTACATCAGATCTATACAAAAACTATCATTAAAGTCAAGAAAAGAAAGAAAATAGGGTCATGCTCAGTAGTATCCGTTGTTTTTGTTGAATGAATCGTATCTGTAGTTAAAACATCTATCTTTTTAGTTTCTTCGAGTATTGAACGAGCGTCAATAAGGGTAGCTGCATTTTCAAATGCATCCCATCGATCCGTTCCTTCGTATTCATTCGCTGAAATCATTTCTAAATCAATTTTATACATTAATTTAACTAGAAACGAAAAGAAATTATCGAATTTACTAAAAACTCGAAGAATTCCTTTTGATTTTGATTTATGACTTTCAACTTCAACTTGACTATTACATAATTTTCGGTAACATTTCTGTTGAAGAATAATGAACAATATCACGATATATGTCAAAATGTTCAATGGCGGATAAGCAAATAAAAGACGTTCAAAATATTCTCGAACAAATGCATAACGTTGATAACGCCAATAAAACTGAGTGTTTTCTTTTACTGCATCAATTGTATGACTAAATTCAATGATTCAATTTAGTTTAATAGAACTCTGCCTACGATAGAAGACCCCTCTCCTTCCTGTTCCTTTATGTTTACATCAAAACATGCCTGATTTTGAATTAAGAAATCTTAAATCATTGAGATTAACATTAAACCTGAACTCTGAGAAATGTAAAAATATTTTTCTTGACCCTTACAGCCGTTTTTGTTTTCTAAGAAAACTCTCGTAATCAAAAGTTATGTAAATAAATATGATACAATGGAAGACTCCAAGGAGATATTTGAACCCTTTGACATAATTAAAGATTCAGGGTCTTCTATTGTAGTGAGGAGTTTACTAATGATTGAACATTTACGTAAAAACTGCAATTAATAAATTTAGTATGAGAATATTAATAAACAACATGTGAAATGCTAATAAAATGTGTGTAGCTGTTGCTTCTGCTACAATTGATGCTGTATCATTTTTGATTTTCTCTAAATAAAATAAAAACTAATATAGCAACTTTAGAAACAAAGCATAAAAAAAAACATTACCATCAAGTAAATCTTTATCAGCTATTGTTCCATATATAAACCAATATGGTTCATAAAAGATTTCCTTAACTATATCGTTGAAAGTAAATGGAATTTGTTTGTAAAAAATCATCGCACGAGATACTACTCCATACGCAGCTATTGCTATGAAAATCATATAAACAAAACCAGATAAATCTCGAAGCTAAAATTTCATCAATTTAGAAAACAACAGAACATATTGAAAATCACACAAACCATATTTTTAAGCATAAATAGTTTTGGACCAAACGATTTTATACCCATCATGAATTTCAGTGATTTAATATACCATAATTCAAGATCAAATGCCAAAATAATCCTATAATGAAATGATTGATAAAACACTATATGAAATATTCAATGAACCTTGCGGTAGTTTGTATATCTTTATCATAAGTTCCGAATCGAAAACAAAGACCCAGATAAAATAGAAAATAAGGTGCAAAATAAAATATAATTGTTAACAGTGTTAGAAGAATCGATTCTGTTGAACCCCATCGTTCAACCATTCGTGTTTTATATTCATAGCACAACTTTAATAAAGAATATAACTCTTTTTTTCAATAACATAAATTAATTTTACTTTTCGACATTCTTCAATAAACATGCTTGATATTGTTATTATCACGTAAATTTCAGTCCAATGTGGAACTGTAAATGTAGCTGGACTATCACAATGATAAAGCATCATGTAACTAAATACAAGTAAAAACCATATGTAACTGATCTAAATAATAATAAAAAAAAACACGAAATATTTTCATAAGTTAAACGTAGATTTTCATACTAAATGATACCACATTTCTATCATTGGACTGTTATGAAAATCAATAAAACGAGTCCCAAATCGAGCAAAACAATTTTTAGGTGATTTTTTAACCATATAATAATTTATACCATGTGAAGATAACCTATGAGAAAGATGATGTGTTTAGAAAAATAATTTTTTGAAATGTGAGATTCCTGTTTACCGATCACCTTTGATTTCCTAAAATTTAGATGAAATAAAAATATTGACTTCAAAAAAAAAAATACTCGTTTACATACAAAATCTTCTTCTCGATAGGAAATAATGAGAGGTGCTAGTAGACCGACAGATAATATAGCTAGAACTTGCCTTGATTGTTCAAATATACCATGATTTGCAATAGATAATTTATTGAACCATACTTGATTCAAAGTTTGATCAAAACAAGATGTTGCAACTAATTTTTGACTTTTACTTGAAATCGCAACCTAAATCATTATTCAATAGAAAAATGTTATGTACTCAAAAATATTTATTCAAGATTAGTAACCTGCATGCATGTAACATGGCCAAAAAGTGGTATTTCTCGTAAAAGTAATTCACATGCTAATCTCTCATTATATTGATAACATCTATTAATGAATTTCGCTGCATATGTTTCAAATTCAAGTGCTTGAGTTCGAAGTTTTTCTTTATATTCAGGATTTGTCGATGCTTCCGCATATTTTTTAAATATAGCCGAGGCAAATAAAGAAGCACAAATACGAGACTGTAAATAAAATAGAAATATTTTGGCCATTTGAGGCATATCCATAAAAATCGACCACAAAAAAAGATCACGAAACAATTGATCGTTTGTATATGAACGATCCACATCATTATTTTGACTAAGTTGCTTAGAACTTGATTCTTCTGAGTTCTGCCATGAACTGGCATCTTGTTTTTTGTATTTACAGCAGACACATACGTGATTTTTCATATCTATAGAAATACGATCTGTACAACCGTCTCCATTCGGTGAATAAATTGATCTAATAAATGAACCAACGAATTTGTTTAATTTTTCATCAAGTTCTCCTATGTTTTTCATAAATGGACTGCCAAATAATGTTTCTATATGTTGGGCATGACTCTTAATTTGAAAAAAAAAACCTTATTTTACTCCAACTAAAAGAAATTGATTCATAGTTCATACTTTGTTCATTTTAGCATGAGTATCTTTATACAATTCTAAAAGGTTCTTTTGAATCGATCCTTTATATTGTGTCTTCATTAGAGTACGTATATCAAAATCAATAGCAAGAAAATATGCCACAAATGCTGGGCGATTCTTTATAAGAGACTTTTTAAATAATTCGTAATTTTCAATCTCCTCCTACAATAAATCAATAGGCAAAGTGAGCATTTTTACAATCTAGAATCTTACCATACTAATTACATGATCTGTTTTCTTCATAAAATTTTGTCTTGATTGTAATATTAGTAAAGCTCCATCTATACAATTCCATTCAACTGCTAAATCTATTAACTTTTTTAGGTCCTTTTGATATTGTTTGTTTCGATTTTGTTCATCGTCTTTTCTATGATTAACAGTATTTGTTTCATATTGCTTATTTTTAACTAACAAAAAAATATAAATTGATTCAAATTGTTATTTTATTGACATACGTACCTTTAACGATCGCTTTAAAAATTGTTTGTGCTATGTTTTTATCACGATTCAAAGAAAAGACATTCAATAGATGACGATTTTTTTTGTCTAATATTTTATTTATGTTATTCGACATGTCAAGATTAGTTGATTGATCAAGATTCGGAAAGGTGGACTTTACTTGTTGTTTAATTTCTTCATGTGTTGGAATACTAAAATGAAAAGAAAGAATTCTTCATGAAAGTGAAAGTATGAAACGTTTTATCGTTTTACGTTTGCTGATGCTCATTCGAATCAGCAGTTCGTTTGATCAATGAAACAAGTAAGTCAGCTAAACAACCACTTTCCTATATTCAAATGATACATCATTATCGATATGAATGAGATATACACACTTCAATCAACACAATCGGTCGTTCTGCTTCAATATCATAGCGAAGCTTTTCAATTGTATCTATATCTCCTCCAAACATAATTGTTACAGCATAACCTTAAGATATAATTAATTAAGAATAAGAATGTTTAAAGATTACATACATGTATGATTTTTATTTTGACATGCTGTTATAATTAATTTATGTCGAGATGAATCGTCACGATATGCATTCAATGTACCATCATCGAATAAAATACAATGTGTATGATTTTTTTCGATTGTTTCTAGACCTTCTTCAACATTATCAGGAACTTGTCGATGAAGTAAGCCTCTTTTATAGTTCTATCAAATAAAACTGTAAAACTAATTTTTTGAAATTTCAATTTATCTACCTTGCTGTCATATTTAAGTTTAAAACGAGTACTTTCATTGACTGTTCCCCACATTGTTAATCCAATACATTTAGCTTTTTTTGAATATTCTCTTAATAAATGATAATGAGATAGACTTTCACCAACTAATTTTGATACACCACAATTAACACCATCAGTTAAAATCCAACCATCTAAAAGTAAAATATGTAGATGAAAAACTAACGCTTAATTGTTTTATTTACCGGCTGTCATAGCAGCATCGACAATACTACATATAATTTCTCTCGGAAGTTTTTGTATCATAGTAAAAGATTTTGAATCACCATAGAGACTTAGTATTAAATCTGGTTTATGCTCCGTGCTCCCACTATCACCAACAAGCAAGTTATAAATATACTGCATAGGAGTTTTGATATCTAGTCGAATAAATTTGCAACCATTAGGTTTTAATCTTCCATATATGGTGATAGGAACTGTAGTGGAATCTTCAGATCTAAATTGCGTAGGATTCTTAGAAAGATTATATTTTCCTGTTTCTTGTTGTGGATTCTGATCACTAAAACTATGACGATGAATTAAACGACCACAAGAACATAATTGATTGGAATTGTTCTGAGAGACTTGCGTTTGATGATTATAAATTTTACAAGTACATGATTTTAATTTATTATGTTCCTTAGACTTGATAAGATCCTCCCACGATGGTGTTGTATCACTAGTTGCCATCTAAAATTTCTAAATAATCAATTGAATTATTTAAAAATATCTAGATGTTGCGAGTTTCTTTTATAAATGACAAATAATAAATGCGACATAGAAGGATTTATTTTAACAACAAAAATTTCTTCTGTTCTATGAAAACTTTCAACACTATGTAAATAAGGTAGTAGATAGAAATAATTCAAGAATTCAACAATTTCTGTCAACATTTCTATGTTAAGAACTTGTAGAGCTTTCAATACTTTCTTTCATAGAATGACTGTCAATTATACAATCGTCCGAATAGAAAAAGAATTGAAAACATACATATTCATTTACATTTTTAAACACTTTGTTGACTTTCAAACGAAAGAGAAAAATGAAAGCCTATTCAATGAGTGATAGTCTAGAAATATTTATTGTGGCTGAAAGCTTGCCTTTGTTGTGATAAAAATTCAAGAAAATATGTTTCAAAAATCACTGACATTACTCTGTCGGACAAATATTTCTGTTGTTGGTCCATGAAATTCATACAGCTTTCATGTTTCATTATAGAAATAATTGAAATCGTAGATTTTCATTGTTACATGATAGATTCAATATCTAACGAAACAATCATAGCTATCTGCAATGATATTTACATCATTTTTTTTTTGTTTAAAATTTTCATTTTATTATCTGCAGTATGTTTGATCAAATTGATGTCTTCTAAATAACAAATAACATTATATTCTAATAATTCATTCAAGATTTTATTAATCGATCAATCATAGATCTTTTTTTTTAAATTGCGTTAGCAGACAATTAACTTTCTGAAACTATTCAATAAATGACTATGGAATTATTTCTTTTATATCTCAATTCCTGTAAATTACCATTGTATTCCGACTATGAAAGAAGTTAAATTCTAACATATTAGAATTGTGATTTTCGAATATGTCAAATACTTGTATATGTTAATGAAAAGAAAAATAACTTTCTGTCATATAAAAGTTACCCATTCATTTAATTAATGGAAATTGATGAAGAAACTAAATAGTATCTGAAAAAAATCATACTATAAACAAGACGTACTTAGGGCGATCATTTCAACAATCCAAAACGGCTCAAAAACAACGTGTTACTGAATTGATTTTCATCATCTTTCGCTGTAATTTGTTACTTCATTCTACGAGTTTAAGGAAAACGACGACGTAATGATGTCGGTTTTCTAGTGTTTCCGACCGCATACAGTATTGTTCTTCTTAACCTGGGCACTTAAGATTATTTACAAATCATATTTCATAGTGAAAATAAAATTATTCTTATCGTGAAACTTATGTTATAACCAAGATTGATTAAACAAAGTTCCTCTTACCGATTAACAGTATTAACAACACAATAACAATGTAATTATTTCAAAATATACTTGCACAATGTCCAATACAATACTGTTTTGAGATAATAAAAACATTAACTTTATGAAAGAAATTACATATGTATGAAATTTTTTTCTTGAGAATAGAACTGTCAAAGAATAAATAATTCCAGTTCACATTGTATTCGTTGGTTGGCCGTGAAACATTCTTTAGTAAACAAAAAAAAACAATGAAAAAAAAACGTAGCAGTTGATTCTTTAGAGAGTGTTTGTTTGAAGGGCGTTGTAAAAAGATCTATAAGAGCAATTGATAAAATCAGTGTCATTCTATGTACGAGTGTTGTTATTCAATTGAAATATCAAGATGAAGGGTGTAGATGAGGGCGGCTGTGAGTATGGACTGTAGGATAAAAGTGACCTTGTTGTCTACTGCATCTGCACCCTATCTGTATATACACTATTTAATAAGGCTTGACGAATAGTACGAACATATTAGATAACATAGATAGACTTATTTCGAATAGAGAAGCTTTCTAAATCAAAAACATTGCTTTTCACATTTCTTATAATCAGTTTTTTTTCCGAGTATACCGTTGATCCAGGCAACATTTTCTTAATAACGACTCAATATAAAATTAATAATTTTTTTTATTAAACAGTAGACAGTTAGGACTTGATCATAATAGAGCCTAGTTTTTGAATTTCTCTTTTTCAGAAATAACAAGCTTAGATCTTTCATTCTAAATAACGACGTTTTTGACCATGAACTTGTGTTTTTTCGAACAACTTTCTTCCAAAAACAAACAAAGGGAAGTTCAAAAATCGAGCTATATAAGGACTTAGTTCTAAGTATACTTCACAATTTCAGAATCACCCTGACATATTAGCTTGTATTCTCATTTTGAAAACCTTGTCCACATAACGGGTTAGTTTTGTACGCTGAAATGGCAGCGACTCTTGAACATCATGGAAATCTGCTGGAAATAGTTTACCTATAAGCTATTCTAGTCAAGGCTAACGTTTCCTGAAATTTTTGTTGAAATCAGATAAAAAACTTTATTTCTGAAGAGGATCCTTAATCAAGTTTCTAAAAGATGATGCAATTAAACTAAAGACAAGTAGGTACTTGCTTAGGCAAAACTCAAAGGCGATAATATGGTGGCTGAACTGACGAAGTAAAGAGTAAAATGATATTTGCTGCTTCGTATGGCATGTATTATTTATATTGTCATTAGAAGATAATAAGTTATGTATTCATGATGTATCTAATAATACAATCAAGTCAATCTAATAAAATGATAGAATAGTAATTCTAAGTGCAACTACTTTCGAAATGATAAAATCTCAGAGCATACGTGGCAACTATAAAAATTGTTATAACTTTGATTTATTCGTTCATTTGGCATTTTTTTAAAATAAACTAACGCTACCAAATAGATCAAAGACTTTTATATCATTAAAAAACCCATATATCAGAATATATGTTGCACTATTTAAACAATTAAAAAGTACACTTTCAATTTTTCACTTAATGTGCCCGCAGTATGACGGCGCCAATTGATTAACTCATTATGAGAAACATTTTTCAGGAGTACCGCTCGAATGATTGCAGAGATATTTGCCATTGTTATAACAACAAGAAAAAGCAATACTAATTGCAAACTGTATCATATCATATATGTTGACGATTTACGTTTAAAAAGAAATACCAACTAACACATCTATTATAAGTATATTTCCATGTAGTGGTACGTATTCAACTGATACCATAAAATACAAAATAAAATATGAATATTCATAGAAAACGAAACGTTATTGATATAGAATGAATAGATTCACTTTTTTTCATATGTCATCGGTATGATTGTATGAAAATGAAACTGTTCTTAATAATAACAACTTATAGACAACAGTAAATCGATAATTAATTGAAAAAAAAAATATCAAGAATAGATCACATATGATTTTTCAGACTTGAACAAAAACTAACATATCAGAAATTTGAAAGATAAATACAAGAATAATGTTTTATTTTTTTGACCTATTTAGTCGTAGTCCACAATGTATACTTTGTATATGCATCATTATTAGGCATACAAACTATTAGGACAATTGGTTGCATGGCACATTAATCTTAAAGTATTATGAAAGGGCATTGAAGATGGATGACTGACGGTAGACGAAAGATCCTCACTCTCATTAACGTGACAAATTGTCTTATAATGAACCATCTGGTCACCAGGAGAACCTGGATATTTTTAAAAGAATTTCCTGTATCCACTAATGAGATATTTATTAAGTAGAAGAGAATAGAAAAACTAATTGGTTGTTTTTCTACTTTGTTGTTATAACATAATTAATTAATCGTACTAATCACACAAACGTTTACAAAGTATATTTCACTTCAAAGAGAAATTTGAAAAAAAAACACAATTCTTTTATTATTTAAGGACGATAATAATATAAAAAAATTCTTCTAATTAATATTTGCAATGCGATTGATTATAGTGAGAAAATATAGAATTCAACTAGGCATCATAACATACTTCCAAATATTTAGCGATTTTTTTTGTCTGACATTCGTTAAACTATTTCAGTATATTAACTCGATCTTAGTCAAATACTATCAAACATCTTCATATAGACTAAATAATTCTATACATTTTCAATAAATTCATATTTGAATAGAAAAAACTTTTACATCAAAATCATATATAACAATAAATAACTATCTTGAAATTTATTTCTATTAATAATAATCTTTGAACTTCATACATTTTTTTTTATAAACTATTTTTCTTTTCTAAAGTACAGCCATCGATAACCATCCAGCTATTAGAAGAACTCCACCGTATGGTGTTACATGACGAAATCGAGTATCATTTCGTATTGCGTGATAATATATTGGACCACAAAAAAGTGTAAGTCCACCAATAAATAAAGATCCTGTAATCGATGGTCGTGAAGCAAATGGTACAGCAAGTAATGCCACTGTATGAAATAAATGATATGTTTGAGCCAATTGAAATAACTTCAAATGAGCAAATTACAATCGAAAAAAAAAACGAATATTTTTTTTTTCTTAACATACCCGTCGAAGATCATCTGGAGTATTTTCTTTCATAATATGAGCTCCATAAACACCTAAACATATAGCTAATGTACCTGATAAACCAGCACAACGAATGAAATTTTTCATTGTTGGTGAAAGAGTTAAACCACGAATCATTGACTGGTTTGATATTGCTGATGAATAACGAGGTAGAATTCTAGAATTTCGTTTGATTTAAATTATATGATTAAATTAATGAAAGAATTCTTTTCGATCTTTTCCTTCTTCTTTCAATAGACTTCTTAATACACACCCAAATATTTTTAAAAAACTCTTAATCCATCGAGTAAAATCTCGAATAAATAATAAATACATAAACACAAACAAAAGAATATCTGCAAAAATAAATTAAAACAATATATTTCTCTTGAATCAATAAAATTTTTAAAAAAATTCAAAAAATTGTTTTTTTTTGTGGTCTGTTATAAAAAAAAATAAACACAGAAAATGAAAGACATCTGGTTATTCACGTCGGAAAGCTTTCCATTGTTCAATTGTTTGTTTTAATTCATTTTGTGGTATCACATCTTGCATACGTAATGGATTTCGATTAAATGG